CATGTTTCCTATCTGTGTTTTCCAGCTTAAAATACTTTTCTTATTTTCAAAATAACCATTTCTGAATGTTCTTTAAAATTAATGGTGTTCTACATATCCCATGTTTTTTTACATAAAAATATTTCTTGTTTAGCAAAATAACTGACTCGGGTGTGTGTCATTTTTTCCATTTTTCCAGGTGTGAGGAACCTGAAGAAGGATTCACAGCTGAAACGTTGTGTTTTCTCTCTTCTCTTTTCAGCATGGAAAAAACGTATTATTTGTGCCTTTGCAGACTACGCGTGTTGACGCAGCTCCCCACCTGAACTACTTTAACCTCTTTGTACTGAATTTGCTTTTACTCCCTTTCTTGCTCTGTTTCTTTCAGTCAGTGTGCCTCAGCTGACTCCCCTTACGAGGTCCGGAGAGCTCTGGAGTTGAACCAGACCTTTGGCCCCAAAGGGTCAGATCAAGCTGTGGACTTCATCTGTGACCTTCACAACACCACTGCCAACACACAGGCCTGCCTGATCTGTGACACTCAGTCTGACTACCTGTCACTGCATGCTGCCAGATACCTTCAGGTACTGACCTAGGTGCTCACTGGTGAATTCTCACATTTGCACCCTGTGCTCCACACCACATACTCTCCTAAGGCTTGACCTTGATCTGAGGAGCATCAGTTTCTACACGTTTGCTGACGTCTGCTCCTGAAAAATGGGTTGGGAAGGAACTCTTCATGAAGTTTAGATTGCCATCACTTGGACCTTCCCTGTGTTAATGTACTCAGTATCAGGCAAATTCAAGAAAAAGAGCACAGCGTGTTGCAAGCACAGTTAAAAAAGCATATTTGACTTTTAGATGATGAAAAAGAAGAGGATGATGTGCTAAAGAACTATTTTGCTCAGGTGCTCAGCAAAGAAGAACCAGCACCGTGACTCGGGCAGCAGAAGGACAAGGTTCTGTGTTAAACAGAGTCAGGAGAGCAGAGGGAGAAGAGGTTCAGTTCCAGAAGCTCTGGGTGTTAATAAATCCCCAGAGCCTGGTGGGATCTCACCAGCTGTGCTCCTGGCAATGAGAGATATTCAGAAACTGTTGACACTACTCCTCCAACAGTCCCTAAATAACAGAGATAGGACCCAGGGGCTGGAGAGCAGCTCCTGTAATACCTTTCTCATAAAGAAGAGAGGAGTGTAAACTGAACCAGGTGATTATAGACCAAGAAATCTGACTTCTCTTACATGTAAGGTAAAGGAAACAATTCTTAGAACTGAACTAGTGGATCACCTATATGGCTGTAAGGTCCTAGGAAAATAGTCCAAATGGACTCAGAAAAGGTAGGCATTTTCAAACAACAAAACTTTAAAACAAGTTGTCTCGACCAACTTGTTAGTGTTCTTCAATCAAGCAACAATAGTAAT